ACCCTAAGTGGATCCTGAGCTTCATGGATCAATGAATGGATGTAAAGGAGAATGGTCATGGAGAGGGGATGGGTCCTGTGGGGAGGGAAGTAAGATGGATGGAGAATGGATGGGAGATCCTGGATTGGATGGATGGATGGGTAGAGTGGGGTTCCTGGAAAGGGTCAATGGGTGGCTGGGTGGCTGGGTGATTGGTGCATGGATGGATGGATGGACGGGATGAACAAAATAACAAGAGGAAGGAAGTATGGATGGAACAATAGAAGAAAGTGTGGGATGGAGTGACGGATGAGTGGTTGGAGAACAGATAGATAGTTGGGTGTGTGGATGGATAGAGGTTTCATGGGTTGGAGGGATGAGACGGATGGGTCAATGGATGGATGGGTGGACATATTTATGGATGGGTGGACATGTTTATGGATGGGTGCAGGTTGGGATGAGTCTGTGGCTGGTTTGTACCCTGGATGAGTGGAGCAGGGGATTGGGGTTGAAGATGAAAGAACAGACAGGGGACTGAATATGGCCGGAGAGATGATGGATGGACAGAAGGACAGGCAGGTGGTGAATCTCTACATCTTGCCTTGTCCTATCTCCACACAGCCTCTCCCTCGGAGGCTCCGCCAGCTGAGGACTCCCCAGCTGAGGCCCAGAAACATGAACACCAACAAACTGAGGTCCCCCCGGTGCGGGCAGTGCTGGGGGAGCTGAGGGTCTCCAGTGTCACCCCCAGCTCCGTGGGGCTGCAGTGGAGTGTCCCCGAGGGCCCCTTTGACTCCTTCACACTGCAGTACCGGGATGCCCAGGGCCAGCCCCAGGCCCTGCCCATCGATGGCAGGTCCCGCTCGGTGACGGTGCCGGGGCTGTCCCCGTCCCGCCGGTACCGTTTCCACCTCTATGGGCTGCGGGGCGGGAAGAGGATCGACCATGTCTCCACTGAGGCTGTCACAGGTGAGGGAGAAAGTCAGAGAGTTGAGGGTGGGTGGGTGAATGGAGGGATGCGTGGAGTGTTGATGAGAGGGATGGATAGTGGGATGAAGGGTTTGAGAGATGGCAGATGGGTGATGGATTGGATGGAGGGATGGAGGAACCAAGAGGGTGATGGATCATGGGTGGATGATGGCTGGATGAATGTCCAGATGATGGGTGGATGAGTGACAGGATAAAGAGCAAGGATGGACATAAATAAAAGAGGAAGGACAGATTGATGGAACAGTAGAAAGAGATATCAGATAGAGTGATGGATGTATAATGGATGGAAGTGGGGATGGGTGGATGGATTGATGGATGGATGTAAGCAGGAATGGAAGGGTGGGTGATCAGGTGACTAATTGGACAATTAATGACTTAATGTGTGTTTGGAGCCTAAGTAGGTCCTGGGGTTCATGGATCCATGAACTGGTGTGAGGGAGAAGGGTCATGGAGATGGGATGGGTCCTGTGGGGTGGGAAGAGAGGTGGATGGAGAAAGGCTGGGGGCTTCTGGATTGGAGGGATGAGTGTGGTGCTCTTGGGATGGATGGCTGGATGGGTGGATTGATCAATGGATGGATGCATGCATAGGCCCTTATGGGTTTCTTGTATGGGTGTATAGATGGATGGAATGGACAGAAAAACAAGAGGAAGGAAGGACTGATGGTGAAATGCAAGAAGGGGGGATGGAGTCATGAATGAGTGAGTGAAGAATGGATAGATGGATGGATGGATGGATGGGTGGACATGTTTACGGATGGGTGCAGGTTGGGATGAGTCTGGCTGGTTTGTACCCTGGATGAGTGAGGGGAAGGGTGAGAGGGGTGTGCAAGGACAGACGGGAGGATGAATGTGGCTGGAGAGTTGATGGGTGCACAGAAGGAGAGGCTTGTGGTAGATCTCCACATCTTGCCTTGACCCATCTCCACACAGTACCAGCCTCACCCTCGGAGGCTCCTCCAACTGAGGACTCCCCAGCTGAGGACCACGAACATGAACACCAACAAACTGAGGTCCCCCCGGTGCGGGCAGTGCTGGGGGAGCTGAGGGTCTCCAGCGTCACCCCCAGCTCCGTGGGGCTGCAGTGGAGCGTCCCCGAGGGCCCCTTTGACTCCTTCACACTGCAGTACCGGGATGCCCAGGGCCAGCCCCAGGCCCTGCCCATCGATGGCGGGTCCCGCTCGGTGACGGTGCCAGGGCTGTCCCCGTCCCACCGGTACCGCTTCCACCTCTATGGGCTGCGGGGCGGGAAGAGGATCGACCGCGTCTCCACTGATGCTGTCACAGGTGAGGGGGAAAGTGAGAGGGATGGATTGATCAAGTGATGGAGGGATCAAGGGATCTCAGCCCCATCTCATTCCCACCCACCTTCGAGAACAAACTGTCCTTGGTAACATCCAAACAACCATTGACCCTTCAACCACCTAATGACCAACACCTGCCATCATCCACCATCATCTTCATCATTCCCCATCACCATAATGATCCTCACCCATCAGCATTATTCTCATTCAT